TCCATTCACCAAATTTACTATTTTATTAGTAAATATACTTTTGTTTTGGACAAAAATTACTACTATTTGAATTAAACTTATTCCAATTTTTGTAATTTTCTCGAGTAAAATAGTGAGTTTGTGCAATAAACTAGAAAGTTTGTTCCATCCACCAAATTTAACATTTCATTAGTAAAAGATACCATTTTTTTGGACAAAAAATTACTATTGTTTGACTTAAACTCACTGATTCTAACTTTTAATAGCTTTGTATGGCAAGTTGTAACTTTTGATCATTCACAAAATTTATCATTTGTTTGAAAATAAAATAAAATTCATCTATTTTATTACTAAAACTTATGTGTATGAAATTCTTAAGAATGTCGAAGATTTTTTTCCAAAAAATAAGACTCAACATCACAAATAGCATTTCTAGTTGTATGAAATATTAATTTCTAGTGTAGTACTTGGGACTACGTAGCAACAAAAAACTTTATCAAGAAAACATTTTTTCTTATTAGGGCCTCATTTACACAAAATACATATCCTATCAACAAAAAACTCATAATTATTGAGACAATTTAGTGTCATTATTTAAAAAAAAACTACCTTGATCAAGGAGTGCATTCATTAGACAAACTTATTTCGCAATTATTTGTGCCTAATGTTCCAAAAACTTCACTGCTATTAAATTTGTCTCAATTCTTATTGCTGTAGAGCATTTTTTATGCTTTTTCTTATTTTTGTAGAATTTAATATATTAAAAGACAAACCTTTTCATTGTTATAACAGAAATAGATTGGTTCTCCTATTTACACAACAAATTATATGAGTTTATCAATAATACCACTAAGAATAAACAAGATGACCAATCTACATTATAAAAACTTTTCATGGGAATATAAATATTTTCAACTACTACTTTAAGAGATCTAAATTTTGGATCTTATTACTGTGAAAACCAAATTTACAATCAAGTTCCTTTATCTTGAGCAAATCAAAACTCACCCTTTTCATAAAAAACGTTACCCATCATTGATTCATCATATTTTGTTGCAGCTATGTTAACAATTTTTACCATTCTAAGCTGAAATGCGACTAAAGAGAATAAGGAAGATTCTCATATTCAAGAAATTTTCTCGATAAAATTAGGAGTACAAATAAAAAAAAAAACAATCCAATGCATCTTTGCGCCATTGTAAAGAACTTCTACACAAATATTACAATCTGGTATCCCCAATAAAAATTGAAAATTGTATTTGTGTACTTCCTCAATTAAGCTAGTGTTACTAAGATTCATCTGAAAATATTTATCTAAAAAACTGATATAGAGATTATACTATGACAAAAGACAGAAAATTTGTTAAGGAACAGAGGGTTACAACAACAGTTAATCCGCATTAGCTCTTGCCAATCATCAGTCTTATTAAGGAACAATTAGAATCCCATTTAGCTGTAACAGTAACCGAAAATCATCAAAGAAGCATGCATTAACTGCTCTTCATCAAGACCAGCTTGAAGTTATTGTTAGATTCATAAGTAAAGGATTATGTCTCACATTGGTCCGAGAGATGGAGAAAGAATAGTTAATATGTAAGTAAGAGTGCAAAATTTAATAGTTTAAACTTTTGGATTAGAGTTGGGTTCCTGACTTAGATGTTGAGTTCTTTGGTGGACTCTCTCGATGTGTTTCTCCCTATCAAATTGATATAAGAGTTTCAAGTTATGAGACTGGGCTACTCACGGGCAAGTGAATTCTTCTAGAAGTTGAACCGATGAAAATTCTCTTCTTGATGATGAGCCGAAGTGCTAAAAGTGCTAAAGAGTTTGGCTAGTATTGGACCAAGTGTGCCATAGGTTTGGCAGGGGGAAAGAAGAGCAAGTTCATGATTGGAAGAAGAAGTAACCTTAGGTGATAAGTAGGACTTGCATTGAGTATTAACGTGAGTTCGAAAATTGATTTGTAAATTTAGGTTTAATGTAAGGGATTACTCATGAAGGAAGAGATTTCTTAGGTTCATGGGTAAAGAATTATGTCCCACATTGGATTGAGAGAAAGAGAAAAAGAGAAGTTAATATGTAATTAAGGGTTCGAAACCTAATGATTTAAAGTTTTGAGTCAGAGTTGGGTTTTTGATTTACATATTGGATTCTTTGATGGACTCTCTCGAGATATTCCCCCTATCAATTTTCACAAATGATTTTTTTACACAAAAATCATCAAAGTTATTGAATTATCTATATTTATAGTACATAAAAAACCATTTCAGATAATGCTGAACTTCATTTCCAAATAACAGATACAACAAAAGATCATTCCATAAGCTTAAAGACAATTTAAGTCGATCAATAATCTGCTATAGTAAGTTCTGCGAGGCATCTAACAACCATTTCAATAACTGCTTGCCAAAACAATTACAATAGTACTCCATATATTACGATTTTAAAACTCATAAAAACCAAAGCAACAAGATAACTAAAAGGTGAAAGCTTTCATTCAACTTCAAAGACAAACCCTATTGCACTCCATACAAATTTTTTTAAAAAAGAGGTTAAACTGATATTTCAACACCTGAAATAGGATCAATACTATTGGGTTTTTAGGCTCCTAACTTATGTGGAAAAGTCCAAAATTAATGGGTAATTGTCTAGGCCCATTAAGGAGTTGTTCTACCTATTTATAGGTCAAATCAGGTTTATTCCAAAAGTAGAAAGGTGGGAAAAATGCAGAAAATTCTAGAGAGAAATTTCAACAAGTTTCTGGTTTGAATAGTTGTAGTAAATTGCCAATTGACATAGCAAATGACGTCTGATTGGCCTGAAATTTTAACTAAAGAATAGTGAAGATCGGATTTCAACGGTTCAATCTTTAGTTGTAAATTTTGGACTGTTTCTATTTTCTTGTGAAGTTTTTCACAATTTTTATTCTTTATTTGAGATTTTGGTGACTTTGTTGATTGTTTAAGACCATATCTTAGTTGTGTACTTGCTGAAAGTTGTACTCTACTTTTAATTGGTGATAGTGGAGTAATTTGTGGTGGGCTTAAGAGTCTCATGGTTTTTCTTCTTCACATTGGAGAGGTTTTCCACGTAAAATTCTTGTGTCTTCTTGTGATTGTTTTTCCGTATTTGTGGATTGATTTATCTTCTGTTAGTTGCTATTTTTTTTTGTCTTGCTTAACGCTTCTAATTTGTTCTAACGAATTGGGGAGGTTTTCGCTGCGTGTTGTGATTATTTGGAACCCGATACCTCCCAACAAATACTTAGTTGCTTAGTCCAAGTACATTTTTCATGAGCTCCTAAAACTAATTCATTCATCACCCAAACATCAAAAACTTTCTCTTTTTCCTTCATACGATAAACAATCAGCGCAACGGACTCGTTCAATGGCATGATAGATCTTGTAGTTCTATGCCTTCCACCAAAATATTCGATATCAGATGGCAATGGTGTCTCTTCAAAGGTTTCTTTGCTTAGGTTGAAGGAAAGTATCACCTTTGTATTGCCATTTTGCGCCCACCAGCAAAATGTCTCATTTTTGTATGGATTAATCATTCTTATATTGATAGTGTATATACCGTCAGCATTGAATGAAGGAGAACTAAGCAAATTTTGAATTTAAAATTCAAATTTTGCACATGTGTCATAAGTTCAATGATGATAGCGTATATACTGTTTTTGTATATAAGATTTACTTTTTTTGTATACCATATTCCACATATTGTATACATGACATTAGCTGGAATAGTTGCATCATATTTTCTCCAAGAATCTGTCCCTAATGAGTATATCTCAACATGATAAAATAGGCCGTCCTGATTAAAAATTTAAAACAAAATTTGTATGACCTTGTAGTCCTTGGCTTTGGAGTCAAAACCGTCATTTTAAAGTTGAATTTGTACATCAATAAAATGATAGTTTTCTTCCAAAAAAAAAAAAGAACTCTTCCACAAAAAAGTTCTCTCTCTTTTTTTTTTGGCGGCCAGTGGTGCAAATCAAGAAAGCTTCCTCCAAAGGCTTGTCAATTTCCAATCCTTGGGAATATTTTGCAGTTTGTGGAGAAAAAGAATAACCACTCAGCTATAGCAAAACTCTCAAAAGTTTCTGGACCTTTACGGAAAATAAAAAGTCAAGAATTATTTAAAAAATGGTAAATTATATATAAGCCCCCCCCCAATAGTTTCATCTATTACCACATTATCTTTGACGCTATAAAATGTCCACTTCACCCTTATGATTTTATGTAAATTAGAAAGTTGAAGAAAAATAGTCTATGTCACATGGTTAATTGAAATATTAATAGTGCATTTATGTAATTGCTAAATCAATCGACGGCTTAATTAACTTATATAAAAATATAGGGGAATTACATGGATAAATGCAAAAACAAAGGAGATAAGGTGGATATTTATACAAATTATAAGGGCATTATATAGAGATTAAAATTTTATCACACACGATTTTAGAGCGCATTTTATTAAGTGCTATAATTGGTTGCACATTCCGTCCTTTTTTTCACTTTACATAAAACTATAAAAGGGTTATATGGCTATTTTGAAACCTTAAGAAAGTCATTTGACATTATGTAAAATCACAGGGGTTATAGTAATTTACCCTTTAAAAAGTATGATCATACTTCATCAACTGGAAGTGTTGGTTTAGATGCCTCCCAATAAGTTCCGCATTGGGTCGCAACCAGATGTAAACAAATGGCTTAAGATTTGCAAAAATGTTCAAAGAACAAATTCTTTGAATAGACCGACGCAATGCTAGCAAAGGAAAACATTAAAGAAAAGGTGGAAAAACTTTGTAGGCAAATAATTGAACATTTGCCTAGCCACCTTCACAGCATCTCTCCATCCAACATTTTATTTTTCACAGAAATAGACCAATTACATTGATCAATAAATTATACACAAATAGTAGATTATACTTGTTTTTTCCTTTCAATGAAACACACAGAAAAGCAATATAAGAAAAAGCACATAATTGTTGTAAATGAACATAAAAAGCAAGAAACCTAAATTTCAAGAGGGCTAGGATTCAAAGAAGCAAAAGCGAGGAGCTCCTGATTTTTCTCGAATATAGCCATGAGTTCTTCTTTTATAGTCACCCATGCTTCTATCTCATCTCCTGATCTTGTATCCATCAAAATGACTAGATTTCCCACTCCATATGGGTCAGTGTCCCCACTGCCGAGGCATGCCCATATAGGTTTTCGCCACCCAAAGTCAGCCTCATAAAGACCACTCCTGCAAACACTGGAGAGTGGAAAAGATTCAGCATTGTGAGAATTCTTCTCCCTCAAATGTTTCTTAGGCCCAATTAACTTCAGCAATCGATCATCACCTTTTATACCTTCAACAAAATCACCATCAATACTGGCGATGGCATCACTTATTTGATGCACCAATAATGGTACCTCAAGATTAAAATCATCCACAAACAGTGTAGTCTTATAAAAAATATTTCCAAACGAATGAGGAGGCAGAGGAGGTGAACTTCTTGACCTGAGATCCACCACTGGTGCCAAAACTGGCGCTTTCTTACCCCCCATATTTAACTTTTGTGGCATTTATGAAAGATTTCGATAGAAGTCCCAAAACAACTTCGATGGAACTTGGTATCAGAGTAGATGAGCACGCAGCCTTGATTTTAAGTAAAGCCAAGGCGGAATGATCAAACACGAACCTGCTGGTGACAAAGTTATGCTTTTCTTTGGTTTGATTGTGGAAGTTGGAACGTGAATAGGTAGATAAGCTTGGATCAGGAGGAAATACAGAAGACGAAATAAAACTGGGATTTACTTGTTTTGATGACTCGTTACGTGCTCTAGCTGCCCAAGAGTTTAGGAATGTCAATCGTGAGAGACCATCAACAACCTTGTGAGAGGCGTACAGGCCAATGGCAATGCCACCGCAATCAAAAATGTTGGTTTGAATCATGACAAGATGAGTCTTGGAAAGTAGTTCCTCAGAGTTAGGATGAAATGGAAGCAACTGATGTATCATTTGATTTGTAGGCTGCTTAAGAAACTCCGAAAGTTGGATATTCACGCGAGCTTCAGCATAGTAGACTCCTTCATCATTGCACTGGATTTCGAAGTCAACTTTGATCCTTCCTGCAAGAGGATAAAATGGTACCAAAGTTTCCGAGAGGGATCTCTTTAAACGTTGTCTTTCTGAAATGACATCAGTAAGATTGGAGCTTTGCTTGTTTGGGTAGAAAAAGACAAGTGGACTTGAGTAGATGTGACCTATAAGCTGGTCGAAAATTGAAAGCCTGTGAATTCTCAGGTGTTCCGGGGTTGGAGATTCCGGTTTGATTTCTTCGCGTGAGATGATCTTGACGTCCATATCTGCAATATTTTGATGTTACTGGCGTGACTGCTGATGAGTGATGGCCAATATCGCAGGAGTCCAGGGTATATACCTAGTAAACAACCATGGGAAAATAATTTAATTAGGTGTAAAATTAGTCTTTACTAAAATATGCAACAAGATGGGGAGAGATGAGCACACATTTGTGCAGCAGGAAAGTTTACTTTTGGGACATATGCTAATATATTGCAGACAACTAATCAGGAAAGCATATGCATGATATGGTGTCGAAAGGAAAAGAATATGCATCTAGGGTAAAAATTGACGATTTAGATCATATTTGATTTTCTAATAGTCTTCATGATAACTCGATTGCTCTGACTAATTTAACCTAAGCGAGCAGTAGAAAAAGGTAATTATGGTAAAGAGATGAGTGATATATTACTCAAATTTATTATAAAAAATTATTCAAAATTAGTTCAAAAATATAATCAAGGAAAAAAAATTAATGACAAGGAAACCTATGATCCGTGTGACTCCTCATTTTGGCTATCCAATGGCACGTCATCTTGAATATTGAACGTGTATGTAATGTTTAGATCCCATGACTTGAAAAGATTAACAAAAAAAAAAAAATGCGTGGTGAAAGTTGTAATGAGCGATGAGAAGTAGAAATTCTGGAAGTAGGCTAGGAGGTCACGTGATTGAATTGGGAATCTTGGACCAAACTGAGTCATTGAGATTTGTGAAGAAAGTCACAAACCGATTTGATCGATTTCAACAATTGTCCGCCCCCTTAGGTCCTCCTTAGGTCCTCCCCCTCCCCTTAATGTAGAATAGATTATATTATATAATAATTGTCGTCTCTGAAAAAAAGATTTCAACAAATTTGATTAGGTTTGACCAATTTTTCATCACATTTCAGCTTTAGCATTCGATCGGATCAGTCACATGATCGGTTCTTGGTTCATCGATTCGAACCGAGAGGCCGACCAGTTGTAGTAAACAAATGCTCGATCATGTAAATGATCCATCTTTTTGGCTTGAATTTCTTCATTGGGGTGAAGAAAGTAATTAACATTGCAAAGTGGTAGGTTCCTTGATAAAACCTCTTTATCAGAGAATATAGTAAACCTCTGTGCATATTACTGAAAAAATCCATGCATGTTCAGTAAATTAGTTAAATACTCTTGACAATAGTCATATTTTTTTTAATTGAACATGATATACAAAAAAAAACAGGTGACTGAGCAATATTTTTAAGTAATAAACTAAAAGCTTTTAGTTTGAAAACAAAAAGAAAGGAAACGCTAATCTGACTCTGCTAGCTATATATCCTCAGACCCTGTAATTTTCGATTTGAACCAGTCAACTCATCAGAATCCCAAAATCAATGTACTAGCAAGGTAATTTGGCTGAATATATACAAGTAATATATATCGTCTAGGAACATGCAATAAACAATAATGTCTACATTTATATTTGCGGTATCTTCACAGAAAAATAGGAGAAAACAAAAGCATCTAAGTAACAGGACACATACCTCTGCAATAAAAGCAATGCTGCTCATAAGCCTTTTCCTTGAGCAAAAGAAGAAAAGCGTCGAAGCTGGATCAGAGGTTCCTTCATTTTACGGTCTTTCTTACAATAATGTCGAAGTTATAATATAGTAATCCCCATATGACCTTTTTTTTTTTAACCCCATGTGCTTCTGATGTGTCATCTACAGCTCATTTGATGCAACCACTCAAGTCATTAGTGTTATTAATTTACGTCTAGCATGATTGAGCCTGTATTTGTCAGCTAACCTGTCAGCGGTCTTGAAACTTCCCAAAAAAGAAATTATAAGCGATAATTTCAAAAATCTCCGCTAAGATTTCTGATAATTTTAGCTAACTCCCCTCTAATTTTAGAAATTACACTGACTTTCCTTGGCATAATGACTTATCGAAAATGACCGTCACTCTCTTGCTATTATATTCTTAAAGGAAAAAGCGAAAAAGATTAGAAAAAACTTATTTGAAAAAATTTTGCAGCATAAAACAATTGCAATTAGAAAAAATTATTAGTGGATGCATTGATAATAATTAATATCGAAGTGAATGTAAAAAACATGGTTTGCAGAGAGATGTGATTTTTTTTTTTTTTTTGTGTAGGCTGGGAGCCTATGAGTTTTAGATTGCTGAAGTATCTTTTTGCAAGATTTTTATTTTTATTTTTCTGAATAGCCTATGCCTTAGGATTATGATAACATTCACATAAATGGAACTATTAGTGGTGATGTGGCTCTAATGATAGAGAGAAATTTGAGCATTTTCTATTTTTTTTCCCACTTAGCTGGCAACTCGTGAATGTAAGTAACAGAGGTGGATATGATCGAGGTTATGGATGTAGAAATATGTAATGTTGGTGGTTTTGGTATTAGAGAGAAGAATATAAGAGAGTTTTTCTTTTTCTATTTCAACATAGAAAAGTTCATACAAAATATATGTGATTTTAAAGATTTCGCTACCCAAAAAGTAAATACAAGGGAGTTAACGTAATTTTTAAAAAAAGTGAGGAGTTAGGTGAAATTGTCCCTAACTTCAAGGGAGATTTCTGAAATTATCCATAACAATATCGATCCCTGTAGAATTTTATGACAATGAAAACGAGTTTATTGTTTCTAAATTGACACGGATACGCAAGGACCTCATACAGCTGTTGATTACAAAAATGGTTTGCGCAAGTTCATTTATTCGACGAGCAGGTAGTAGTAGTAAACTCCCGTCGCCATGTTTTTTTGGGCCCAATGCTATATTTTATATCATACAACATATATATATGAGTTAATTTTATACATACTGACAATATATACATTATTATGGTTGAATGCACGGTATATATGTAAAATTTGAATTTCAAATTCAAATTCAAATTGTGTATGTATAGAAGATTAATCTTATATGTATACTAGATAATGTCTTAGGGTCTGTTTGATAACATAAAAAAGTGTTGAATCTGAATTTTTTCAGACATTCAGATGTTTTGAGTGTTTGATAAATGAAAATCTATTTGCTGAACTTGTTAAGCAGTGCTGAACTTGTGTGTATTTTTTTCAGCACAAGAATCCTAACTGAATGCTTAATTCTGATAAAAATCAATAGAATTACTTCAGCTACCTTATCTTATCTACCAAATCTACCATTGTTTGTTAATTATATTCAAAATTCTTATCTAATTAAACAACATAATATTCTCTATCTAACGATTTTTTTCTCTTTTCTCCATTTTTAATGACTTTCACATTCTCTCCATACTCTCATATAATATATTTCATATTTTATATTAATTTGATTTAAAAATAAATATTGTCATTTTCATACCTAATAATTTTAAACTAATTAAATCATAGATTCTATTTCTTTTTTGAATGAAATGATATAAGGGCAAAATTGTCAAATTAAACTTATTAAGCATTCAGTTATAAATATTTATCAAACAGTATAAATAGGTTTAGTATTAAAATTTAAACATTCATATATTTTTTTCAGTGCTTAAAATTCAGCAAATTAATTATTTCAATATTTAGATTTCAGAATTCTGACTTCAGAATTCAGATTCAATTTTATCAAATGGAACCATAGAATGGTTGCTGTGTTATTTTTTTTTTCTTTTGAAGCATCTCTTTTACACTTACAAAAAAGAGTATAAGGGTCCTGCCATATTTGAGTAAAGTGCTTTTTATAGATTTATTAGAAATTTCAAATGATGCTTGACAACTACCTCATAATTTCAGGTAACTGTCAAATAGCTACAAGTCTATACATTTTTATTTTCAGAAAATTTGTTAAGAACAAAATTTCTCACTTTAAAACCAAATTTTACAAATAACGGTGATTTATTATTATTTTGACAAAAGAGACATATTATTTGCACGGTATCTTTATATGTATATGTATTGCAGAAGGGGTTTTAACAGATACCCTCTCAATGGTTTCTAAACTTCTTATTCTTTTTTCTAAATTTTTGTATTTATTTTAATACATAAAAAGTAGTGGGTTATAACCAATCTTATCACTAATCAAATTTAACTTTAAAATATTCTCACTATCTCTTAACTCATCCAACAACCACTCCTACAAATCCTCTAATCATCATCCCACATTTCCCCCCATATTTCCTCCCACGTTTCCTACTCAAATTAAGAGTCCATTCCAATTTAAGAATTCCACCGCAATTAAAACTCCTCCAAACATAGCATCCTCCTTCAATTTTCTTACATGCTCATTCGTATTTTTTGATTAACCAAAACAAGAATCTATTATCTCTTTCATCTTTCTTGTGGTGTCAATCTTAGTCTTTAACTTAATTTCACCAAGGAATATGCCCGCCTACAAGCATTTCAACAACAACTAAATTTCAAACTCGCAAGATTGCAAAGGAGGAAACATTTGCTTAGAAAACGAAACGTACACCGCAACGATTCCACACACCAGTTGGAAAAGCTTCAACAATTTTGTGCTGACGAAAGAGAAATCTCAAATCAAATTTGATGGACAAAATCCAGGCTACACCGATTAAAACGTCGTTCGCATCAAATTAAAATTTCTGGTACTGTATATTCTTTAAATATTGGCATTTTCATTGTAATTTCAAATATTATTCCCAATACTGTAATATTTTTTATTAGTTTCGATTATTTCCAATACTATAATATGTCTATAATTTTTTTTTCAACCCTTTTAGTGATCGAGTTAATTCCCCCACCCTCTCTCTCAGTTTCTTCTTTGTTTTTGGTTCTCTATTAATTTTGTAAATGTATTGATTTTGTTTTTTTTTTTGTGAGCAGTTATGGAAGAGATTATGTGCAGAGATTTCAACGGAAATCAACCTTCTTGCGGAGAACTGGAAGTACATTCTTGCCAGCTTAATTTTCCAGGTCGATCCCCTCTGCCCTCCTTTTTTGTCATGTTTTGCTTTTCTTTTAAGGTGATTTGGTCTTTTACTTTCTTTATTTTTTTCCTTTTATTTTCTCGACTAGTGGATGGTTTGGATTGCATACATGATCAATGCTTTAAAGAGGCCATGTGAACAGCTGCGTGTTGTATATAATATTTTATTTGTCAAACAGGTACAATGTTAACATACAAATCAGAGATTTCAGTGGTAACATGCATTTTAATCTACAAGACAGACATGCACGATTCATATTTGATTGTGATGCTTCTTATCTCAGAGAATTACAAAGGAAGATAGTATTTCTTAATATATATTTATTTTTTATAGTACTATTTATAAATTATGTAAAAAAAACACTAATTTCGTACGTTCTTAATTATCAGGAAAATGGTGATAGGTTGTTCAGCTAACGAATTAATTCATGCAAAGATCATGCATTTTCATTTGTAGTACGCACTTCACAAAATTCAATAGAGGTAATTAAATCACCAATTTTGGCTTTCGTACTAAAAGTGGATTGGTGTGAAAAGTGTTCGCACCTTCAAGTAAGATTATTAAATCGAATGCTTAGTATTTGTAAGTATTTCATTTTAACAACAATCAATTACATTCATTTGTGGAAATATATCATTTCTTTTTTAATATAAATTTTTATTATTTTTTCAGGATTCATCTTCTGAAAAAAGACAGTTCTTGAATGATATACACATTCTATCATATTTCAAACTATTGTTAAACAGATATTACATTTTAATTTTATTGGTACAATTTTTCACCTTTATTTGTTCACCCTTTTATTTTTATTTTTTTCAATAATATCAACACCATGCGTAGCACGGGTATTCTCATTAGTTAGGATGTACCTAGTCTGTAGTATGTGTTGGCGCACGGGACTCATTTGCCTCTATTAGTACATCAGTATTTGTTGGTAGCACTCCAAATATCTGAACTATGGCTCCGTATGGGTATGGATTAGGTGCTCTTCCAGGTATTTTATAAAAATTTTACTGTAACAATGTATGCGAAATTTTTTTTATTGTAGATGATTATGTGTTTTTATGAGTATTTTTTAACGTATTTTTGGGGATGTATTTTGGAGTGTTTCTAAAATTTAAAATTCTTTTTGAAATATTTTTAAAAATTGAAAATAACACCACTCGCCACCACCACCTACCATCGCCACCACTCCCTACCCCCTCCTCTTTTTCTCTCCTCTCTCTCCCTCTTCTCCCTTCTTTCCTCTTTTTCCCTTCCCCTCTCCTCCCCTCCCTTCCTTTCCCCGGCCAGCCCTCCCCTCCCTCCCTTGGCTGTTGGCAGGTCGCGATCTCTAGTCACAACTAGAGGAATCTCTTGTTGGGACCCTTTGGTTGTGATCAGAGCTGGTCGCTACGAGAGCTGCCAAGGGAGGAGCCAGCTAAGGGGAAGAGAAAGAAGGGGAAGGGAGGAGGGAGGAGGAGGAAGTATGGAAGGGAAGGAAGAGAAAGAGAGAGGAATTAAGAAAGAGGAGAGAAGGAGGGGGAGGAAAAGGGACAAGGATGAGAAAAGAAGGGGGAGGGGCGACGGTAGCGGTGTCGAGGGTGGTGGTATGTAGTACTGTGCGGTTGCTGGTGATGGTAGATGGAAGAAAAAATTGTGGAAGTTTTTTTTTGTATTTTTAATAAATTGTATTTGAGATTGTGTGTATTTTTGGAATTGTT